TTAATCCGTCAGGTTTGTTCCAATCATAAAAAGTCATAATTTCGTCATCTAGTTTATTTTTTTTTATGAGGGAGTTTATTTTCAACATTATTCAAATTTATTGTGATCTTTTGTAATTTTTTTATTCTCTAAATTGTCGAAGGTATTTTCTTTACAGTGAGAAGTCTTCTGGATGGGTGCAGCTAACTCAAAAAGAGAGGCCGGATAAAGCGATGAGTCGGGGGAAAACGAGCGGTTCGGGTTGACAGAAAGTTCTTAAATCTACTCCATCACCAGAAAGTAGAATTTGAGAACTTTCTCCCACCCCCCAAACCTTATCCCTGTTGCAGTCAATCCTTTGAACATCTTCTCTGAAATTTTGCCCCCGAATATTTCCCAAAAACATGAAAAATAAAAACACAAATAAAATGGGTGGATAACAACGATTCAAATATCGCTATGAAGTCCCTGAATTCGACCTCATCTCATACAGCGGATTGGATAGTTCGAATCCAGAAGACTTCTCACTGTAAAGAAAATACCTTCGACAATTTAGAGAATAAAAAAATTACAAAAGATCACAATAAATTTGAATAATGTTGAAAATAAACTCCCTCATAAAAAAAAATAAACTAGATGACGAAATTATGACTTTTTATGATTGGAACAAACCTGACGGATTAAAATTGTCGATAAAATTGTCGGCAAGGATGAGAGAGAAAAGGTTTAACTTGCCGCCCCGTGCTCAGTGTCCTATTTTACCCTTAAAAAACCGCAAAAATTCGATTATTTTTCAAAAATCTCAAACACTCTACTTCGAAATTGGCCAAAACCCCATCAAGCAGTACCCTACTACAACTTACAATTTGAATTTTTGATTTGAATGGAAATCACACTCCGAAACCTTCATTTTATCATTAAATTCGATATTTTGGAGTCCGCAACTTGGCAACGCTGCCGCGGGAGCAAAAAAATTTGTATGGGCATGACAATTTCAGAAAAGTCCCATCTTATACCAGGTAAAAACATACTCAAAATTCAGATCGGTCAAGGCAAGGATGAGGGAGAGGGGGTTTAATTTGTAGCCCCGAGGCCAATTTTGCTATTTTACCCCTAAAAAACCACAAAAATGCGATTATTTTTCGAGGAGCTCCGACAACCTATTTCGAAATTGCCCAAAAACCCATCAGGGAGTACCCCACTACAACCTCCAACTTGAATTTTTGATGTACAACAAAGTCGCATTTAAAGTGAGTTCAAGCGCACCGTGCCAGGTTGGCACATGGTCTGAAATCCTGGCCGAGCTTGCAAAAAGCAGAAAAGATTCTCAGCAATCAAGGAATCCTTCTAGGGAAAATAGATTATGCCGGGAAAACGGAGGGGTGTTAGAAACAATCGGAGGTCATGTTCGGTTTCTTCTCCTTCTTCTTTCTCCTCTACAAACGGCTAGGGCATAGCCCCACTGTTGCAACCATATAATATCAAACGCATTAACATAAATCAATCATAAAAAATTTAAAATTCATGAAAAATATAGGACTTGTCAAGTTGATAAAAACAGTGATAACAAATTCAATCATTCTCAGGAGAAGAGATATTGAGAGAAATTTTCGGATTACGTAGCTCAAAATACAAGAGAAACTTTAAAACTCACAACAAAGACTCTTTATCAAAAAAAAATGTTGGGGACTTGGAGCAGTTGGGAGAAGTTTTTAGCTAGAAGCTAAACTTGAGAGTCACGGGGAAAAATACGGCAATCTTATTCAGATTTAGCAGCTCAAAATACACCACCAATCAAAGACCGCCAGAAATTTCAGTTCTTTTAAATTTGGAACAAAAATGGCTGATACTCGCCTCTTGTAGCCGGGAAGATCGGCTTTTCCGGAAAATTCGAAGAATATAAGAGAAAACGGTCAGGTCATGTTCAGTTCTAGCAGCTCAAGATGCACAGAAATAGGTACACTGAGGAGACCAAAAAATATTTTTGTGCATTCCGAACAGGAAAATTTCTGCAAAAACACAGAAAGCACGGAGTCAATTTTCTGATGGACACCAGCTTTTCCGGAAAGCTAGAAGGTGCGCGAAGGCGATGCATAGAAACCGGGATCATTTTCGAACTCGATGTGTCAAACTAAACAAGGATCACTTTCTACCTTTTGTCTAGTTGCACAGTGTCATCTTGCCAGGAGTAAAATCGGACGAGTTGAAAATCATTTTCTATGGGAGTGGTGGAAGGGGGGGGGTGAGGGGGGCTTCATGGGGCTTACTTATTGTTTTGATTTTGAATAATTCCACTCGGACATTTTATATTGAGTGTACATAATCATTTTTTCCATTTAAGCCGTTCAATGCCGAAAAATGACCTAAACAAGGGAAAGGGGTACGGAAGTCGAGGAGGTGGTAAGGGTGTTTGGGGATAGTGGAGCGGTAATGCAAATAAGGCTAAGAGTATTTAGAGCTCCTCATGTTGCAAGTTTTAAAATTTTTAATAGTAAATATGAGCAATACTGCATTAAAACCATTATTAATACCTCTACAGACGGGAGCACCTGAAAATTTAGGGTAAAATGTAATGTAATTTCGGGGGGAGGGAGGGGGCGAGGGGGTCCGAGTCTTAGGTACACTCCCTTTTGGGCATTTTACGGTAGTTAAAACTGAATACAATATTTTTTTGTGCTCAAGCCGACACTTAAACGGCTAAAATCAAGAAATACCAGAAAATACCCCCATTTGACCCTTTCCCCCCTCCCCTGGGTTTCGCACAACTCGGATTCATGGGGACTTTTTTGTGAGCGTTCTTCATACTCAAATGAACAACTTAAAACAATAAAATCGTGTATCCCAATTTCCTCCGCTATTCGTATGATTTTGATCCCCCGCGCCTGGACTACCTGCTCAACACAAACATGATGTATTTTGAGATGCCAAACCTGGAAAGTGCCACCTTTTTTTAAGCTTCAGCCATTTGCCCGAGAAAGCCAATATAACTCTCAAAAACTGGCGCGTCCGAGGTAGTCTCGTATTTTTGTGCGTGTCTCTAAAGTCGTAGGTTCGAATTGTTATTGGTAGCTTCATGTGTATTTTGAGCCGCTAAATCTAAATCAGATCACCGTATTTTTCCCCATGACTCTCAAGTTAAGCTGCTAGCTTAAAACTTCTCCCAACTGCTCCAAGTCTCTCCCTCGGATGCGCCAGTTTTTGAGAGAAAAATTGGCTTTGTTCGGGAACCGTCAAAACCAAAACCAAAAAATAAATAAAAAATAAAATAAAGCTATCCCAGGGGGGTGGGGGTTGATGTCCCTCAACTGAATAAATCAAATAATTTTAAAAATAGAGAAAAATTTTAGTCAGCGCCAACTGATCGGCGTGTCAGTCCGTGCCTTGAGTCAATTTGAGTGTCAGCGCAAACTTTTCAGCGCATCAAAGATGTGCCAAGTTCGTGCTGGTAGCTGCTCAAATGGCTCAGTGGAGTCAGGGTAAAGTGATGTAACACCAGGGTTATGTTTCACACTTAAGATTTATTTGACGAAGTGAAGTACATTAGGTGTACCCAATCTGCAGCAAATAAATGGAATACTGGACAGACCAGGAGCCTCGAATTCGTGTCAAGCGCAGGGGGCTCAGAAAACGGGGCTAGTAGCAGCGGAGAGAGCAGCCGCTGGAGAGACGGGGTCCTCCACTCGGCGAAGGATGCGCGCACATCTGAGGCGCTAGAGTGGGGATGATGCAACGAAGGGTGGCCCTGGCCAGTGAGCCGTCAGGAGACAGAGAGAGAGGGGGGTCTACCTAGGAATAAGTCAAAATAGTACTGCAGAGTGGTGAATACAGGGTGGCCCAGACCTACCGTACCAGGCCTTTTTTTCGGTTAATTTGGGTCGCACGAAGTCCAGGATCGCGGGGATGAATAGGGAAACGACCCCAAGGAATCCGAATTTCATGGTCCTAGAGCCCCCTGGCGGCCCTTGGGGGGTAAAAGGGGGGTCCGTACTTCAAAAGTCAGGGTTAATGTCAAAATTTTGAAATTATTTCATCCGAATCAGAACGTACGGAAATTTTTAACGTGAATCGACACCAAGAAATCCAAAATCGGCACATCCAGGTCCAAAATACCGACTCCTAAAGGTGGGGGACAGAGCCCCCTTTAAAAAAAAATCAAGTTCGTTAAATTGACATGGAGACTCGGAAAAAATGTGTATTCATTGGTAATCGACCCCAAGGAATCCAAATTTGAGGGTCCCATTGTCTTCAGACACTTTTCTGATGGGGCACAGGGGTAACCTCCACAACGGTTTTTAACCGTTCGGATGAAATAATTTCAAAATTTTGACATTAAATCTGACTTTTGAGGTACGGACCCCCCTTTTACCTCCCAAGGGGCGCCAGGGGGCTCTGGGACCATGAAATTCGGATTCCTTGGGGTCGTTTCCCTATTCATTCCCGCGATCCTGGACTTCAAGTGACCCAAATTAACCGAAAAAAGGCCTGATACGGTAGGTCTTGGCCACCCTGTATACATAAATAAAACTAAATGAATATCGTATGAATAATTAATAAAATTGTAAATATCTGGAAGTAGATAAAATCTTAAAATAACATAATTAGGTCGATTAAAACTCAACAGGCTTTCTCAGGAAAATGGCTGGAGCTCAAAAAAGCATTAGGACTATCTGGTTGGTCTCATTTTATCAATCATTATTAGTAATTTACTGCTACCCAAACCGCATTTTGATGTATGTCATTGTTCTCTAAAAAAACAAAATTCGCAGTACTTTTTGGACACTATGTATTTCCTGGGGATCGGCTTTTCCTCTGCACTATCGAAAGTTTTCTAATCAAAGAGTAGTAAAACCGCCAAACCTCCTCTCTAGTCAAAAATGTCAACAGTGGATGCTCACTAAAAGTGTGGGTTTCAAGGAATTTTCAATTAATCCCATCTCATTTCACTAACAGTTTAAAATTTGAGGAAAGACTGATTTTTAACACCACTCTCATAATTTATGGTTTGTCTGTTTATCGATCAGTGTCAGCTTTAAAACTCAACACCAACCTGAAGGAGCTATTCCTCGGCGAAAACTACTTAGATGCCACTGATGCAGCTCAAATTGGATCCTTGTTGAAATGCAACAACACCCTTCAGTTTTTAGATATTAGGTATATGCATTACTTTAATTTTCCCTCTTTTTTCATGGGCTCAGTGAAATATCTTACTTACATTCATAATTGAAAAAATGGAGGCAAACTGTAACTATCGAAACTGAAGCAAAAACAATGTAAAATGTGCAGAATCAAAATAATGAACCCAAACTCACGAACCGAATGAAATAAAATACTGCAATGTGTTTCAGGATACCTGATGGAAATCCGCCCTGAAGAAGGGAACATCCACCCCGAAACGGGTCGGCCTTATTATTTCATCAACATGGTGAACTTGTGATTATTATTTCGATTCTTCTCATTCCATGTTGATTTTGCCTCACAACCATGCTTGTTCGTAAGAAACTTACACTCCAAAATATTGCACATAGGTATTTTTTGTTCAATTGTTTTATAATCATCTAAGATCTAAAGCTGACAGTGTTATTCTCCTTTTGCACTTTTCTTTCTTGAATGGTATGAAAGAACTCATCACAAATGTCTACCGAAAAATACCGTACCTGTATCATAACCCTTGCAATGTCAAGAAAGTTTTACTTAAGCAAGGCGTGAGAACTTAGTGTTGGTTAATGGCATCTGATTTTCACTGCTATGATCTCTCAATCTGTACAGTCTTATGGCCACAGATAATCAGACCTCATAGGCCATCCTCTGCGGTCAACGCCCAAGTATTCTCTGGGTCTGACTTTGCTGAGTTTTTTCTGCTTTAGTGTTGCTACTATGATCAAAATTCAAAAGGGTATGTGGTAATCTGCTGGGGATAATAAGGACCATAACTAATTTTCAATAGTGTGCGCCAATTTAATTATTATTAGTGTTACAATCATCTTGTTTTTCCCGTATGTTCAAGCTAAATCCCCAAAGAATATTATTTTTAGGGATCCCTTGATTATGTTACAGACCAAACGTAAATAGTTTTAATTGCTGTAAAACTTGACTAGGAGTTTTTTGGTTTTTACCAATTAGTATTTTTCAGTGAAGGTTTCTGTAAAAAATCAAAGCTAAAACAATTTCAGGATTGTACTGAACACTGACTGCTTTTGACGAAACTAGATTTTACTGTCTTTTGCGTTTTAACGCTCTTCGGGTTAGAACTCCTACCATTTATAATAAAAGGATATATGCCTGGATATCGAGGATGATGCATAACAGTGTATTCCAGGCTCCTTCCTCTTTCCCTTCCGGGTCAGTCCATTTAAGATTTCATTTTCAGAATCAGACTTTCATAGCAGTTGGAAGTCAGTAAGTGACTTGTATATGATATTTTTTGGGACCTTTGAACCCCTCAGAATAATTATTGGACAGTGGCATAGCTGTTTTCGGCACCATTTTTTTTATTTCTTGTGATTTTTGAGAGTTTTTGAAAAAACTCATCATTACCGTAACCTATTTATTTTGTTAGTCCAGCACACGCAAAAGAAGTGGAAACTGATCTTTTTTATTTTTTTTGTTTAGTTTAAAGTCTGATTGTTCGAAATAAATACAAATATTTGGATAAGTTATGATTAAAAGTTTTATTTAAACAAATTTCAATGTCAAATTCGGAATTTTTTGTTTTTTTTGAGTTCTAAATTGTCCTAAATTTGAGAGAAAAGGATGAGGTTGCATGTAAAGATTTTTCTATAAAGAGCTAAACTTATATTTTGTAATTTCCCCCTAAATTGTAAATTTACAGCTTTTTTCCAATTTTTTTTTCAAGAAAAATAAGCCGGTTACGGTAATGATAAATAGTAGCAGTAATGACTGTAAGTATACGGTAATGATTTATTGTTATGCATGACGGCCTTATGGGGTAGGATCTCCAGGCTGAAGGAAAAAAGCACTGATTTCTAAAGAAACATTGTATTAAAGCAGTACAAAAATTCGGAAAAATGACCAAACCAAATCATTTGAAATAAATAAATAGTCAAAGAAATGGTAGAAATCAACCAATTTCACATTAAATGAGTATCTCTAATGAGATCACTAAACAAAATAATTATAATAGAGGAAAAATATGACTTTATTTAACCACCTATATGCAAAAGAGAAAATTTCTTTGAGAAGAAATGTAGGTAACGTAAACAAAAATATCTCTAGTGAGATCTCCAAACAAAATAATCATAATAATAGTCAAGAGAAAATAGAACTTTTAACTAGCAAAACTAGCAATAAATAGTATATATAAGACTATCTCGGATCGTATTGATGTACTTTCTGGGCAGGACGGAACGGTATTGCTGGTGGTATCTGATGGGCCATTTTCTTGTACTGATTTAAACTGACTGACTTTCAGTTTTTCTTGTAAGTTCTGAAACCATTTCTCATATGGGGTTGACATTTTTCTCCAATTAAAACGTCTGTGGACAAGGAAAAGACAGAGATATATTTCAAGGTAATCTCAAGCAACTGAAATTATTCCTAAAAAACTAAAAAAGGCCGCTATAGATTCATTAAAAAAGATAGTTGGTCACAACCGAAACTCTTGCATCATTACCGTACACCCTAGACGGTCTGGGTGGAAGTTACGGTAATGATGGTTACGGTAATGAGAAACATTCAAATTTCGCGCCAAAAGGAGACATGGGCTTGTTGTAGGAAGGTGAGATTTCATATTTGAGGTTGGTTTAATGTTATACGTTCATAAATGAAGTAGGTTTGATGATATCTTCAATCCTTGGTGGATTTTTACATGGTAACGGTAATGACAGCTGAGAGTTGGACAAAACCCAATTCATCACTGTAAATTGAACGAATATTACTTTATGATTAAGTAAAAAATAGAGAGCTACTCACCATGGGTCCTCCTTCCAACACAAACATCAACGAATGTAAGTTCGAGCTGGTGCTGTCGCCTAGCAGCCGAAGATTACTCCAGAACAAGGGGTTACGGTAATGACACCAAATCCAGTAACAAGCACAAGATGGCAATTTTTTCGAAGACTAAGAGGAAAATATAGCTCTAAAAAGAAAGAATTATCAATTCAAAGTATGCTGAAGCCATATTTGATTTCAGAAGCCCGTGACTTTGTATATATTTGCTTGAATTCAGCGATAAAGTTGAGACTTTCGACCGGTAACAGGTTACGGTAATGACAAATTCAGCATTTCAGATCAAATTTGAGCTATAAAAAAAGAAAATTCCTGCAATTTAAGCACGGATTCGGATTCAGCGCAAAATTTTCATGAGGAATGATGTATAAAACACCATGCCACTGGGTTGGTTTTGTGAAAAAAGTAGCGGTAACAGCAAAATGAAATCTTAAATGGACTGACCCTTCCCCTTGCTCTCCTGCACAGTTGATTGCAACATTTAATTAGTGTACACACTGAAAAAACAAATAAGGGGAGAAAATTTAGCACTACTCAGGCAAAAACCGAATTTGGTCAGGTCAAGTAGATTCTTTGAGATCAAATTATTTCCAAAGAGAAAAAAAAATTGATTTTTAGAAAACATAATCAAAATCATCCTGACCTACGGCAGTGAAGTATTGCCCACGAAAGATTGCTTCCAGAAAATTCCTAAAGCAACCGAAATAGATCTCTAGTGAAGATCAGTCTATGTCCCCAAGACAAACGACGTAAGAAACAAAAGAGATGATAAACGCCAAGCAGACCATTGGTCATGAAATGACCAAACACCTTGTCTAGTCTGGTTGGCGAATGACAGGTGTTCCTAAAAAGGCACTAGATTGGGTTCTCTCTAGCAGCCCCCCCCCCCTCCGGCCCGTTAGGGGACTAGTGAAATGGAATTGGTAAAATCCCGTGTCGTTACAAGTGTTTTGGCAAATTGGTGTCGGCCATGTCGAATATTGCATAGCATCCTAATGGGCAACGGTTGGATAGAACGACTCCTCCTATGAAATGTTCACCTGTGCCATAGTATCGTTTTTGAAGTGGGAAGTTTAAAAAAACGCATATTTCTTACGCAGACTGTGAAGTCAAGAATGTATTTTGGACTTTCCCGATGCGCTCATCGTAATTTTTGAGGCATTTTCCATAAGTTGTAACGCTCCTTTATGCTCCAGCTGAAGTTTGCAACAGACCCATAGGGGTAGAAGTCTCGCGAAGTGTTAAGAGTGCAGGTATCTACAACGGACTGATTTCACAGTGTTTGCGGTTACTGATTTTAAAAATTAGAAAGCTTATCCCGATGTAATGCCGGTGTTTATTTGTAGAGTTTCGCTTAGACAATCGTCATTATCGAAAATGTATTGTAATTATAATGCATCGTTATTATAAACTGCCTCTGAATTCTACCTTAAGATAGCCCTTACATAAGGTCGTAAGTAGGCGTTCAGTCTGGTGCCCCAGCGGACCCAATTGCTCCAAAGGGCTACCTAACTGGCACTATCGGTGTCCCTTGTGACTGATGATGGTTGGCTAACCTCACATCTCCTTTATTTGGCTGTGCTATTACGGCATCTCAGAGTGTTCGAGCTTCAAATCGGGACTGGCTGTCTATGCACAGCTGAAGATCGCTAACAAGCGTGAAACCTGTAGTGGCGCTGACAACAGGCCCGATTTCTTTACCCACACCCAACTCTCCTCAAATGAGGTTCTCGCTAGTATGGAAAAATCCATACAAAAAAAATATTAGTGACCGATACCTTGTAAAAAACTGCATTTCATATAAATGACGGTCAGAACAAATCATTTGATTTGTATAGGTGTTACGGGTAATCTAGTCAAACCGGGTAATGTCGACATTACCCGGGTAATGGCGGCAATAATCGACATTACCCAGGCCGTTTTGGTTAGGTTAGGTTAGGTCCAGCCGGTCCCGTCTGCGGCCCTCCCAGACGACTGAGGGGTGGGATGGCGGGTATTATAACCTAACCTAACCTAACCAAAACGGCCTGGGTAATGTCAATTATTACCGACATTACTCGGGTAATGTCGACATTACCCGGTTTGACTAGATTACCCGTAACATAGGCACAGAGGCGTGAGTGCTGAGCAACATATCCGTAAATGGATTGCTCGAATTTCCTCCGTTGGAGGCCTTCGGGTTGGCTTATTAGTCGCGTTGCGGCTAGCCGCCAGAAGTAAAACTTTAGGAGTTGTTGGGTGGCTAAGGGTAGAGGGCGTGAGCCGCGCTGCTAGTGTGGCTCCCGCCGGAGTTTGGCATTCTGATTTGCACGGCATCTCAGAGTGTTCGAGCTTCTAATCGGGACTGGCTGTCTATGCACACCTGAAGATCGCTAACAAGCGTGAAACCGGTAGTGGCGCTGACAACAGGCCCGATTTCTTTACCCACACCCAACTCTTCTCAAATGAAGTTCTCGCTAGTATGGAAAAATCTATACAAAAAAAATATTAGTGACCGATACCTCATAAAAAACTGCATTTTATATAAATGACGGTCAGAACAAAGTCCAGAATGCCAAAATCAACGAACCTTTCACTCCACTTTCTATCAGGGGATTCAATTTAGAGAACTGCGTCTGCTGAAAGAAGGTTCGGTGAGGAGTAGACCCTCCTCTCTGTTTCAGTGGCGTGTGGTCCGGATGAGCAAGGCAAGCACTGCTTGCCCAAAGATTTTAGAAGGAGGAAAGAAATTATACCCATTACATGTTTTGAAAGGAGAAGTATCGTTTTGGGCCTTTTCCGGCCCCCCTGGATTTTGCTGAATGTTTCATATTTTCAAAGTACTACTCCTAGATAGACTCTATGCCAAATATTTTACCGACCGGAGCCCATGCAAAGGCGCAGCAACGCCTCAAACCCAAAATCCTAGCATCAAAAAATAATTATTTTCGTCAACTATTTCGACTGTTATCACTCTTCCAGCAAATGATAGCTTAGTTTTTTTTGCCCAGTTTTCGTTTCTGGCCTTTAAAAAGGCCTTCAATAAATTTTAAGGGGCCTTACGGTCCATTGTTGCCATTTTCAGCCCATTTTTAGGGGTCGTTGCCGAATTTTTCGAGAAAAATCGTCCCAAAGTGTCAAAAATGCCAAAAATTGGATTAATAATGGATTATGGGTCACTTTCCCCACGCAGTTTCTGTTGTTTGGTATTAGGCCTGTAGCAGGCATCTTGAGAACCAAGGACTATCTCGAGGTTACAGGAATAAAGTGGTGTAATGGAGCGAAGGATGAGGTGGAGACACCTTGAGGGTCCGTGGTGTCACGTTCATCTGAGCAATTACATATTCGGTGAGATGCATTGCAATTTTCCATTTTTGATACGTTATTTGTAGTGAAAGAAAACTTAAAATTCTTTTCTTATGCAGAACCCTCGACGTGATGATTAATCCAATTTTTGGCATTTTTGGCACTTCGGGAAAATTTTTCTCGAAAATTCGGCAGCGCAGGGAAAAGTTACAATACACATTATGTATGTATTCTTTCACGTTCTTTCCGAAAATGCACACGGTTTTTAGGTTAAATTAATTTTTACACAGGTAAATTTGAAAAATCCCCTAAAAATTGGTAAGAATTGGCAACAATGAACCATTAGGCCTTTTAAAATTCATAGGAAGCTATTTCTACGGCCAGAAATGAAATTTACACAGAGAAATAAATATAAAACACACCCATGGAGGGTGACCTAGGTCGAAAAACATTCAAAAGAGCTACCTCCAAATAAAAAAAGTCCGCTAAACACGACATCCCTGTCAATTTTCACATCAAGGGAATCCAGGTACGACCATACTTTTTTGATATGTTGTATATGGTTAAAAGCTGTTACGTACGTCAATACAAAAGTCGTACTCCACTTTCTTGAACCTTAGGCGTGGCAATTTATCAAAATTTGGCCATTTTTGCCTCTTTGGAACAATTTTTCTCAAAAATTAGGCAACACAGAAAAAAGTTTTTTCACTTATCATTGCTTATTCTTTTTTTTTTGTATTCTTTTCAAACAGGTATACGCTCCTTAGTTTAAATTGAGTTCTGCGTGTGTAAAATTGAAAAAACCCCTAAAAATGGGCCAAAAATGGCAACAATGGACTGTAAGGCCCCTTTAAATTTATTGGAGGCCTTTTTGAAGGCCAGAAACGAAAACTGCGCAAAAAAATACTCAGGTATCATCTGCTGGAAGAGTGATAACAGTCGAAATAGTCAACGAAAGTAACTATTTTTCGATGCCAGGATTTTGGGTTTGAGGCGTTGCTGTGCCTTTGCATGAGCTCCGTTCGGTAAAATATTTGGCATAGAGTCTACCTAGGAGTAGTGCTTTAAAAATATGAAACACTCAGCAAAATCCAGGTGGGGCTGGAAAAGGCCCAAAACGATACTCCTCCTTTAGCAAGTATCATTGATAAAAGGTTTAAAGTCAGTAAATTTCATTATAAACGGAAGGAGAGAGACAGGAACACGTGAAGAGCCACAAAGGGAGGAAAGCGGCAGAGTGGATGGAGGTGACAGAGTGCGCTGCACGGCCAGGACACAGGCCAACACCTGCTCTGGAGAATCGCTTGCGATGGGGTTGAGCGGAGAGCTACTCTGCCGTGCTAAGGAAAAATGCTGTATGAACATTTGTAAGTTGCCAAATTTCCTGCGGTAAAATGATACTTATTGAGGAAAGTCATGAATGTTTTTCCTTGAAATTTTCAGGAACTTTAGGTAAAATTGCGAAAAGAATTCTCTGGAAAATTGGAAGGAAAATATTCATAAATTCACTAGGAAATTTGAGTTTCATCAGAGGGAATGTGGCAACGCCTGAAGGCTCATATGGCGTTCTTCCTTAGCACGGCAGTACAGCTCGCCGGTGGACTCAAGACGGGCGAGGAGAGCAGCACGTTCCGAATCCGAGCGCATCGATGCGTAATTGCAGCTCCCTTCTCTTGGCCCTTCACTGCAGCGCACTGCTCTTGCCTCCGGAGCGTTACCTTGCTTCCTCTTTCCGTCGCGGTTGCGATTGCTCCCTCCAGAGCAGGTGTCTTCCAATTTTACAATATGTCGTTCATTTGGATCTCCTTGGTGATAAATAAAACAAATATCAATCATGTCTTAAACGCAAAAAGGTGGGTTTTGGGGGAGAAAATTGTATAATTAAAAAAATTCTAAATGCTGTAGAAGTGAGACTAGAACTACCTCGAATAAGTGGCAGAATTGGGAGTTATGTACAAGGAGCTGTCCTCCAATGCTCCTAAATATTAATAAAAGTTGAGTGAACTAAAATTTAAGTAAGAGAGGAAGAAATAAATCCACAGTTTTTCAGGACGTTCCATCACATTTAATCTGAAAAATAGAGTAAATGGAGGGTCGCGAGGATGTAAATTTTAAACATTTTCCAGGGAGGCTCCCTGAGGAGGGGAGGACGGTTATGCTCCCTTCTTTCCGGGGAGCGAACACCAGAGCTTGCCCCACTGCACGCCACTGCTGTTTATGTACCACAAGGAGTAGATCCTATTCTCTTGGTAGGTTCTGCAGGGAGTAGACCCTATTGCCCAGTAGGGTCCTGCTAGGAGCACACTTTCTACTCCAGATTCTGATATGGTTTCAATTTGGAAAACGGGGTCTCCTTAGATTAGGTTTGGCAGCAGTTTTTTGACAGCACTCGACTCGGGTTTGGTCACTTGGTAACAATGCCAAGTCATATCAATAATTGAATTCATATTTTTTGCACCGTCTAGCAACAGCCGTGCTCTAAGCCCCAGTTTCATACCACTTCTGTATTCCGTGGTGCTAGAATACTGCTTTTCAAGACTCTCCCAATCCGACCTTAAAACAACCTAAAGGCAAATTTGCGATGACAAGTACTTACCTAAATATTGTGCAGCCTCTAATTACCTGCCCATCCTCCAATTCAATGCTTTACTTTTATTTGCTATGCATTTACTGTCATTGATGTGACTCTTCTTACTTACGTGATTTGATCTCACGTCCATCTTTTATTCTGTTTTTGCCATTTAATCACATTCTAGTAACAATATAATTTTGGATGCTGGTTTGGGTCATATTGCTGAAGGAATATCCGAACAAACTGGCCCTGGCTTGAACATGCTAGTGGTATGGAACAATCATCTTACATATGGTGCAGCAAAGTTCATATCGCTCATCTTGGTCAGTGAAAATTGCATTATCCTTCTTATTTTTAAAAAATCAATTCAGGGGCATTTTACTTATCCCAAATTGATCAAAGGAGCCGTTCGTGTCAAACTATTACTCCAAGAGATTTGAATGAAATTTGAAACCAATGAAAGCACTAGTTCTGTTGTTAAATTTTAAGTGAAAAACAATTTTTTTTTATTATTATTTATTTTGCCCCTAGGGGCTTTGCTTACTAGTGTACAAATACAAGGTAGAACTGGGGGGGGGGGGCGACCNGGGGGGGGCAGGACCCCGGCCCGAAGGTCTATGAATACAGACTAATAAACAGGGTGGGATCACTGGTTCGGTATACGCACCCCTTACCTACCGTTAAGGTGTAATGACAATTAGGAGAGAAGCTCCTAACACGAAAGAAAGAAAATTACTTTATTTTAGAAAAAATTCCAAAATAACGAAAAAGAATGAAAAATTAACCTCAAGTGATTAACTCAACAGAGTCCTGCATCAGACAAAAACCCCAGGTCCCCCCCCCCCAAAGATCACTCTGAACTCCCTCCTTCCTCCCTGTCGCAGCTAAGTTTAAATACAGATTGGGAACTTCACCTTAAGGACGTATACCGGAGGCAATTGCGACCTTAACATGAACCGAAGTTCAACCTATACCCCGAGTGCGAGTACCTCCATTCGCTCAGAAAAGGGGAAGGGATTGCAAGACTCATTTTGTTATTAATAATGTTGAAAATTTAACTTGGCAAAAGGCCATAATAATTCTGAATATAATCCAGAAAAGATAAAAACAACTACAGGAAAGAGGAGTAAACACATTGAAAGACACCAGAAGCATAACTTAGATGATAAACATCCGTAACAAAAGAGTAAATAGGGCGAGCCTGTCATGACAACATCTTTGTTTCCATCCATGTCGCCTTGGAGAGAAGTGTCCTCCGGATTGACTTAGAATACTTGAGTAAACGAGGCCTGCATCCACCTTCGCCGCAGCTAGAGACCCATCTCTATGCATGAACACTGGCATCCTAAACATGACTGGAGCGCTTGATCCAGCAAAACGAGAAGCTGTCAACACTTCAGGGAACGATGACTTGAGTGACCTCATGCAGAGTGATGTGTCTTTCTCAGTGAAAATCCTCACCCTTCTTTTTCAATTTTACCTGAAGGAAAACCGTCAAACGGAGAAAAAACCTTCGTTTTTATATGCACATGTCCAGGTGCTGGGGTGGGGGGGGGGGAGGCCGGCGCCCGCTAAGGTGTAAAGGGCCTTAGCTTCGTCCGGCAAGTCCCGGGACCTCATCAGCGGCCATTATTATCTTGCGCGATAAGTGATAACGAGACGAAGTCACGTTGCACAGCGCGATGTTACTGATAAATCACTCGGTTTTTACACCATCATCACCGAGAAAAACTCGCATAACATCACGACTTTATGAAAATCGCGGATATATAATACAGTATCATGAAGAAGAGATACTGGCGAGTCACTAGATATTCAAATCCATTCGAAAAATGCCGAATTGCACACTTTTCGAATTAAAAACTCAGAGTGTCGCAGAGACGCATCCACCCTCGGCGGTCGCTGATAAGGCCCTCCGTCAAAAACGATGTGCCACTGAGTTCTCTGAAACGAACTCCAAAGCCTTAAAGCCTTAAAGAACCTCTCAACATAGAATTTATATTGGAGTGGATTGCCTACATTACAGTGGAGTTCCACCTCTATATTTAGGTTAAATTCAAATGCACCGATAGGAAGAAAACACATGAGCAAAGTTGTTATGGCTGCAGCCATAGAGTCCCCTCAAATAGCAGCTCTGGTAATGTATGTGCTGCTTGTTCGTGTACGGAGTCTTGTAGTCAACCAACGAGTGGCTGACTTCAAGAGCATTTAGGATCAGAATTGAGAACATACTCGGGTGGGTGTAATAAAGTGAAATTAAAACGAGGAGAGGTTAGTTTCTTGAAAAGAAGCGATTTTTCTTTTCATAATTTTTTAAAATCGTCAGCAAGCAAATAAAAAGTTTTGGGTCACGGAAAAAGGTAAAATTATATTTTCAACTACCAGGAAACCGTCCAAAGGTAATGAAAAAACTGTTTAAAAAAATTCATCATCACTTTTTATGGCATAAGTAATGCCAGAGACAAGAGACCCTCCACTGGCCTCCTAGCAACAGGTGGAAGCTTTTACTTTTGGGGTGTCAACAATTCCTTATGGACAATTATTAGGGAGCAACAGTCATCACCCTAGTTTCGGCTGTTGACTTACCTACATGGTCAATGATGAGCTTCGGATGACGTCATGAGCCAAACAACTTTCCCAAACGTCGGCCATTTTCGGCTTGTTTGCAAAACGAAACTTCCAACACGTTGTTGAACATCAACCATGTAGGTAAGTCAACAGTAGAATGCTGAAGTCCCGAAAGTAAAAGCTTCCACCATGGCCAAGATACTAGTGGAGGGTCTCTTGTCTGTGAGTAATGCAGAGAGTTCGATTAAGGTTATGGTAAGCACCTGACATTTCCAAGATTCTGAGGTCATTTCTGAATACAGCGCCTCATTATACAGAAGGATCCTTTTTCCTCGTCTCAGAGACATCCTTTTTTTTTGGTGCACTGTAATAATAGTACTAAGGCCTTAGAAAACACGCCGTTATTACAGAGATCGTTTCATAGGCTCTTCCCAAAAAATTGATTTATAATACCGATAGGAGGCCTCTTAGATGGACTTCCACTCTCTCATATTAAGAGGAGCCTAAGCACCTCGCAACCAAAGCAGTTTTCTATTTCCAGTTTAATATGCATTACTTAAAAATGAACAAGAGAAAAACACTAAAAATAAGGCCTGAACTCTAAGTAACAGGGTGGCAGAATAATGCGGACCCAGCACTATTCTACCACCCTAATAATAAATGATCTCACTTTGTTCTCTCACCAACATCGCAGGTCAAGAAATTATGAAGACAACTCTAAATTCCTCAATGGAAGTCTTCAATTGATGTACATGAGGATTTGGAAATTCTCAGTGTGTCTGCTGTGCTGTACTCGCAATGTTGATGAGTTAATGTGTACTGTGATGTCAGGTTTGTAACCTTGTCTTCGAGTTAAGTCTTAATTTTTATTCAAAAATATTGACATCCCAAAAGATACTTTTCTTCTTCCTTTGAACATTTTTTCATCCCAATAATTTTTGTATCTTATTTCCAGGCTCGAAGCTCTAGCCTAGAAATGTTAAATGTTGGCCAAAACATCCTGACCAGTGATGTCATCTACACCATCAAAGAAGGGCTGCAGCAGAATCATATGTTGTTAAAATTTGGACTGCAGTCTACCAATCTTACTTGCGAGGGAGCCATAGCACTTGCAGAAGTCATTGCAGATAACTGTACTTTGCAAGTAAGCATCTCTTGTTATGTGTGTCTCTACAATAACCACGATCGACTGTCGGACCAGATAAAATATTAAGCTCCGTTATCAGATGTTTTCTCATCAAACTTTCATAAAAAATTCTGTGAAAATGCCAAAATTAAAGTAGTCGGCGAGAATATAGCGTTTTCCCTGTTGGTGAATTCAAACCTCACAATTCGAAGCCTGGAAAAATTCATCTTTTAGCATAGCATTGGAGGGATTTCTGGGGTAAAGGACCTTATTCCCAACCGGCCATTTTAAACCTCGGCCAAATCTTCGAAATATTTTCAGGTTGATAGAGGATTACTGCCCTAGTCAAAACCACTGATTATTTTTGAAATCGGATAATTGGTTGGGGGGCAGGGGTTAAAGTTAAAACTTTACGCTGGCTTATCTCGTGAATGGTTTGTTGTAAGACGATGATCTTGGTCTCAAAATTTAGAGAAAAATATCAACTTTTAGCTGATATCATCAGAATCAGTCCATTTAAAAATTTCCATCCATCGTTACCATGTTGCTGTAACTCAGATCTCCAATTTTTACATTTTGAGCTGCGCCATTAAAAGGAATGACAGAAAATAACAAAATTATCTTTTTTTTTTTTTAAAGTAGTCTGTCTAAGCTTGAAAAGAAGCCTAAGTTCATCCTGGGAAAATGATATGGGTCAAAGTTATAATTTTTCAAAGTTGACTTGGAGCGCCTGGACCTCGTATATTCCGAGTCCCAAAATTACCCATGCCCCCAAACCAAGTCGCGAGGTTTTGCATTTTATACTTCTTTAAGTCAGCTCTTAGGAGAATTAGTAAAACAACCAAAAAATCGAGACCTACGAAAGTTGCAGGACTAGTCTCAGATGACGAAATTGTTTTCCAGTTGAAAAATTTATCTTTTAGCGTGAAAATTTAGTTCCAGCGCAAAACAATTATATTATCTCAGTAAAATTCCGTCCAATCATCTTTATTTTTAGCTGATACACGACATTTGTGTATGACCAAGATTTACCGCGGAATGCCGTACATCAGCTCAAAATTAAGATAATTGGAAGGAATCTTACTGCGTTAACATAATTTTTTTTGCACTGGAACTAAATTTTTATGCTGTAAGCTAAATTAAACGGCAAAAATCATGCTTGATGGGCAGTGTCAAAGAATTGTTGCAGGGTTGTAGAACAGTTAGACTCACGTGACATTACGTGAAATAACCAAGAAGCTCATTAGAAAGTTTTAAAAATTATTTCTAAGGGCACGAAAAGCTTAGCAAAATCCGACCAATTAAAAGCTGACAGTTGAGATGACCTAGCAAAGCGATGCCTGACTATGAGTTCAGCCCAGAGACTAGAGACCCTTCATTAGTACTCTGGAAATGGCAGAAGCTTTTACCTTTAAGACTTCAACATTCAATTGCTGACCTACCTACTGGGTCGATGGTTAACAACGTATTGGGAGTTTCGTTTTGTAAACAAACCGAAGTTTGGGAAACTTGTTTGGCTCATGACGTCACTCGAAGCTCATCATCTACTTAGCAGGTAGTATGTGGGGTACACAAAAAAACCCTGCATTTTTTTATTTGAAACTGCCGCTTTCAGGGATCATTTTTATAGTCATAAGAAGCTCTTTCAGAAGGGGAAGCACTCTGAGATCCATGCAGGAACAAAGATGGCGGTCGTTAAAGATGACCGCCAAGCGTTTTTTCAGCGCGCTATATCTCGGAAACTACGTGTCCGATTTTCGTTTTCTTGGTCTCATTTTGAAGCTAAAATGATTCTACAGAAGTCTACCCCATACATTTTTTCGCCTAAGGCACACATCAATGGTCATTAGGAAAAGTTCAAAATTTTGAAATTTCACCCAAATTTCGAGAGCATTTAATTATTTAACTCGCGAAAAAATGGCTTTTTTGCCTAACGATACGGGGATGGGAAATTATCTCACATTTAATTTGATACCAAGCCAATTTTTTTGCATCAAAAAATGCACCCACTAGGACAATTTCAGGGTGTCTACAAGTCCGGAAACAGTACCGATTTTCTAAGGGGGGTCCGGAAGTACTGAAAAAGTGCGGAAATTCCACAAAAGGTCCGGAATTGTTTTAATTTTTTTGTCATTTTTGTTGCAATTCGAGCGAGAAATTCAAATTTATCAAATTTCGTCAAACGGAGGTACTGAATTTTTCTATGAAGGAGGTACTGAATTTTTGAGGATGTACTGAAAAAGTACTTTATAAGTATCGTTTTTAGGCCCGCCTGTTTTAGTAGACATCCTGAATTTAAGTGAAGCGTCGCGGTACGCGGTGCGCGATGCAATACGGGCAATTGACGTGCTACGCAAGTCATACGCGCGCTATATCTCGGCACATTCTCGTCCGATTTTCATTCTTTTGTTCTTGTTTAGAAGCTATGTTGAAAGTTAACAAGTCTATCGGATACACTTGCGGTTTTCTTTCGAACTATCCGGGTATTTTTCAAAAGAACCGAACATTTTCTAATTTCCGAAATTTATAACGACGAATAATTTCCAATTGGGTGAAGAAAGAAACCTCTCCTCACATCTCGTAGAAAGGTCATTCTCTGACGTTTAAAATGATACCATAAACATTTTTGTGCTGTGATAAATAGATCCATGAGCGCAATTTTAAGCGCACCCCGTAGGATGCACTTTCCGTTGGTAGGCGTTTTGACCCGACTCATCGCCGCGGCGCGCCGCGCCTTATGCGCACCTAAGCGGTCGCGACCTTGCATGATTTTCCGGATTCTAAGACAGATTTTCGATAAATCGCGATGTATGGAAGGTATCTCACCTCCCATAAAACATAATTTGTTTCATCAGAATGAAATTTCATCTTACAGTCGGTATAGGCATACTAGGGGGCTACGTCCCCTGGCCGCTACGCGGCCCAACCCCCTGAAGGCGCTCCGCGCCATCAATAGGCCGCTTCGCGGCCCTATTTTTACCCTCCTATCAGTGTTAGTTTTATTTTCCCCTAAAAAATTACGATATGAGGTATACTTTAATTTTAAACTTTATTTAAAATTACTTTAAAATTAAAGGGACGCATTTTGGAATGACTGCGCTTCATGAATTATTGCAGTAAAACAATGAACTATGATAATCAGGTAATAATCAGGTTTTCCATGAGTCGGGTATCGAACCCACACCGAGATCAAAGTGGACGCTTTCGACGTCTTAGACGACTCGGCCACCGCTCGACGTGAGGATTCGGTGCGAATCTTGTGTAGATAAGTGTAGAGCTGATGCGCAGGCTACACAGCCACTGCGCAACCTCCTCGACCACTGCGCATCCTCCCGCGCATAGCGGTAGCAGTACCGGAGCATTCTGTAAACTCACTCACTTTTATAACGTGATTTTAAAAAAACCTGGGTCCTTTTTCCAAAATCTGATTACAGCGGGCTCATCTAGGGCCTATTACCTATCGATTTACGCAAAAACCATCGAAATCGGCCCGGTAGAACGCTCAAACGAACTATGACAAAAAGTATAAATTTACATTGTTTAAATGGGAGAATTCGCAACTTTACCGCGTAATATAAAAAAACCTGGGCTATATTTTGAAAATCTGAAAAGAGTTGGCTTATCTAGAGACAATTCCCCGTCGATAGCCACAAAAATCATGAAAATCGGCCCGGTAGAACGCTGGAACTAAGCGTTACCAGTTTCGCAAAATTAGGAGGTCTTGGAGCTTATAGTATAGATTGAGGGAAAAAGGGACAGAAATTCGTACAAATCAACATGGAACTTTTTTGGCCTTGGGGTATTTGTTGTCGGGGATAAGACGTGATATGAAATGGTTCGCAAGATCGACTTGCCATTTTCGATGTTTTTTTCTGGGAAGACCTGCAATAACGGAAGAAAGGTGGAAAATGATAGGATTATTTTGACCAAATACTTACTTTGTACTTATTCAAAGTCATTTGCAAAAACTGCAAGTATATCCAATAGACTTGTTAACTTTCAACATAGCTTCTAAACAAGACCTAAATAATGAAAAAATCGGACGAGAATGTGCCGAGATATTGCGCGCGTATGACCTGCGTAGTACGTCAATTGCCCGTATTGCGTGGTTTTCACCACGCACCGCGTATTGCGACGCTTCACTTATATTGCCCTAGCGGCTGCATTTTTTGTCCCAAAAAAATTGTTTTGGTATCAAATTAAATGTGAGATAATTTCCCATCGCCGTTACTTGAGGCCAAGAAGCCATTTTCTCGCGTGATAAATAATTAAATGCTCTCGAAATTAGGGTGAAATTTCGAAATTTTGAACCTTTCCTAATGACCATTTATGTGTGCCTTAGGTGCCTTTATGTGTGCGAAAAATTTATGAGGTAGACTTCTGTAGAATCATTTTAGCTTCAAAATGAGACCAAGAAAACGAAAATCGGACACGGAGTTTCCGAGATATAGCGCGCTGAAAAAATGCTTGGCGGCTATCTTTAACGGCCGCCATCTTGGTTCCTGCACGGACCCCAGAGTGCTTCCCCTTCTAAAAGAACTTCTTATGACCATAAGAATGATCCCTGAAAGCGGATATTTCCAATCAAAAAGTGCAGGGGTTTGGCCACTATTCAATTGTACCCTGCAAACTAAGGTAAGATGACTATAGAGCCCTGTTTCCCATCTTTAGGGGTCAATATTTTGAATAGGAATGGGCCAATTTTGGATTTCTTGGTATTTATTTGAGGTAAAATTGTCCATCCTTTCTGAATCTTCTGTAATTATTTCAAAATTTCAACGGGAATCCCAACTCTTTAAGTCGTGACCGACCTTATAGTCAGGGGTTTTGCAGTAGTGAAATTTTGATTCTTTGGAGACGATTCCCTATTCATTCCCACAGTTGTAGACTTCGTCCTATCTAAAATAATTTAGGTAAAAGCCTGATAGGTCTCGGCCACCATGTAGATGACTTTCGTTTCATAGTCCAGTAAATGAAGACATGAAGAGCCTGTCTCCAGCTCCGCTTCGCCCCTTATTCATTAATATGGTCGCTGATGAATTGTATTTTTAGAACTTTGCCTTTTTTCATGCTAGATTAACCCATAAGCGGACTTTAGAGGGCGCGAATCACCCTTGGGGGTTGGACCCTGTAGCAGTCAAGGGACGTATCGCCCTAGTTTTCAAAATTTATTACGGAGATAGAAATGAATTAGAAGAGCTCATTTGTTTTTTTTTAAATGATAGGTAATTGACTTTACTTTTCGAATAAATCTTATTTTTGAACATCTAAGTAAGTTAAATGTGAGAAAAAATTAAAGAAATGAAAAATTGAGAATATTTGACCGGCATTTCTTGTATTTACGTTGGTATGTAGGTGTGGATCAAAAAATACCCCTCAAAAAGAGTTAAAGATCGTTCTTTTATCGTTTATTTGATAGCAAAGAATCACGCCAAAATGTAAGGTAAGAAAGGGCAACGGCAAAGTGGGTTGATGTGCAGTCTCCTTTAGTTCAAACTGTAAACTGGCGATTATGAGTGGCGCATGATGATTGTCAAGTCAGCTGTGTTCATCTACCAATGCTCAAAATAAATATTATCCATCATAAATCCATCCTTTCTCAAGTGCCATACATGCCAGTCTTCACTTAATTTTTTAATATTCACCAATTTGTCTTGGCGATCGTTCAAGTATTACATAAGGCTTTTTGGAAGACTTTTTTTAACCTCCATTGCTTGTAAGGAACCAGTGCAGCAACGTTTTAACCCCTGTTATTATCAGGTAACTGCCCTGACCTTCTCCCCTCCAATTTTTTAGGAAATCATACAGAATGCTTAAAAAGCGGCTGAGTTTTTTTTTTAATCTGTTGAGACACAGGAGGCAGGGCGTCCATCTCCATGGTTATTGTCATTTTATGCCCTCAATTTTGAAGGTTGACTTTTAATATAGATATCAAATCAAAGCTATAAGAACAATCTACGACTTTAACCGAGAGAAATTTTACAATGCAGGCCTTTTCATGGACGTAAAAACAATAGAGTTTAGAAAATGAGGACAGCTGAGAGGTAGCTGTGCACATCAGTATCTTTAACAAACAGAAAGTACAAGTGAAAATTTTTTCACAATTTTTATTGCATTTGAAATTTTTACATTTATGTTTCATTGTCTCACCATATTACTGTATTTTTCCGTTCACAGAGGATAGACTTGCGAGATAACAACTTCCAAGTAGCTGGATTAATTGCTTTATCTTTGTCCATGAAGGAAAATTTGACGATTACTCAGTTAGATCTTGATGACACTCCGCAAAATTATGCTTCGGTTAGTTGAACAAAGCTTTCACTAGCATGTAATTATTCATGTCTTATAATAATAATCGAAATCAGCAGAATGTGGAAGACCAACACCAGAGTCATTCCCAGTGTGATTGGAGCCGTCAGAGCAGTCTCCAAAGATTGGACTAAACTGAAAAGCGAAATCCCTGGGAAGCATTAGCTAGTATTAGCCCAGACGTCTGCTGTGATAGGCACAGCCAGAATCCTCCGAAAGGCCCTTAACTAAGTGAAACAGCACAAGTACACCCAAGATGTTCCCACACACCATAAGCACCCCCATCCCCTGCCATCTAAGGATAGGAACCTCTAGGCAAGCGACTTTCAGACACCTACCCTGTCTTGGTTCCTCAAAATAGGTATCCTAGGCTGTGATGAGCCACCCCCCCTGGGAGTGAAATTACCATCAACCGGCCATCCAAACCAAAAACAACCCTTATACCCAGGAGCATTGTTTTCCCCTGAGAGAGAGTTTAAAGCAACCCAGCACACGCTGGTGTACAGTAGTCAATTGAATAATAATAATAATATTTTTTTTTTAACTCGGAAGAGGGAACACTTCCGATATAAGTATCATTGACGGGCCACAGGCAAAGTCAGTAATACACACACTATATTGCTTTAATGAAAAGTAAATTTGATTTTAAAGTAAAATTAAAAAATTAAAAAAAAAAAAATCTATTTCTAAAGTAAAATGATAAAAATTAAAAAAGATTAATTTTTAAAGTAAAACTAAACAATTAATTGGTATTAAGAAACGACCTGACAATATTTGACGTGCTTATAACGACGGACCTCTGCATTGAATGAAGCAGGTAACTCTATTCCAAGGTCTTGAAGATGTTTAACTAAACTTTTTGGAACCGTCCCCATTACTGACATTATAAGAGGTTTGATGCAAACAATGTTTAGGTTCCTTAGTCGCTTCATTTCCGCAGCTAAGGGCAGACATTTTGCCATCTTTTCTTGATACTTCAGCTCCAAGTTATGATTATTAGGGATGCTAATATCGATAATGTAAGTGTTGCGATTTAGCTCATCAACAAGTACTAAGCACTATGTTAATCATGATGGTTTTATCGGTTAAGACTGGGTTGTCCCAATAGAGCCGGAAGCGCTGCTTCTCCAGGACTGTGGCAGGGTTGTAGGCATCATGCCAATATCATCACTAGCCTCTTCAATCACCTTGAAAAGTTGTTGCAACTGGTCTCTTAGGGATGCATAGATCTTAATATCATCCAAGTAGGCTAGGTGGTTGATGACATGGAGTACTAGTCTGTTCCAACGTAGAGGGAACCCTTTTTTTTCTCTCAAATGCAATTTGAGAGGGGGTTGAGGCCCAAACAGAATCACAATACATAGTGGAGTTGCTAGTGTACAAAAAAGATGATTTGTCTGCAGTATTGTGAAAAGAGTGTGTTCTGTACATCAATCTCTTCGTCTTGATACGTAGAATCAGATTTTCGATGGTGTCAAGTTCAAAAATCAATCCGGCGCCCCCCATTCAAGATGGCGCCCAAAAGGGGCGCCGGGGGGTTGAAAAAATATAAATTTTCCTACAGAGTCGACTGAGGTATCAATTTATATGTAATTTTAGTCGTAGAATCCGAATTTCACGTTCAAAAAATCCTCCGGCCTAAGGGGGGGCCCCAATTCCAAGATGGCGGCCAAAAAGGGCCCCTTGGCGGGAAAATGGCCGTAGATGGCTGTATATACTGTATGACATATCCGCAGATAGGTTTTCTGGGTCGGGAATGACGAATATGAGGTCAGAAATTGTGCTAGACCCTTCATGGAGGCTCAGGGTGCCCCCAAAATGGCCGCCGGGGGTCAAAATTTTTTGAAATTCCTCAATACCCCGAGTGGGATGTCTATTTATAGGTAATTTTGGTCGTAGAACTCGAATTTCACATTGAAACGGTCATCTAGTCTAAGGGAGGGCCCCAAAATCCAATATGGCGGCCAAAATTGGCTTCATGGTGGGAAAATGACCATAGGTAGCCTCATACGCCGTATAAAATAGATGCCAATAGGTTTTATAGGTAGGAAATTTCAAATATAAGATAAGAAATTGCTCTTTGCTCATCGGGGGGTGAGTAGGCCTTCTCCTCTCCCCCTCGAAGCTTAAAATCCTCCATTTAGAGGCTTTAAAATTCTTAGTAAGTAATTAAAATGAATGTCAAAACAGACATGGACAAGGAACACTTAGTCGCTGAGATAAGTTTTAGAAGAAAATAGGGTAAATCGCTAAGGAGCAATCGCGAGTTGGCAGCCCCCTTCCCCCTCTGGACTTGCAAATTTCAATGGCCTTGCCTTTTCATTATTTTTATCGGTCATGAATTCGTTTTGACGTACCCAACTGCCCATCCACACTCCCTTCTTTGCCATAAACCTAAAATGGCCTAATGAAAACATGAAAAAACTTTTCAAACGTTCCTCATTTCTAAAAAATATGGTCTTTTCGATAATGAGAACAACCCGATTTCTTTTGAAATTTTTAGGAAATGAAGAACCAATTTATTATATCGATATAGAAGGAACAAAAATTACAAGGAATGAAAGGGACGAATTGATTTTTCATAACTAAAGGAGCCCTTACCCTTCTAGCATGCTTCTTTATTAAAAAGGAATTTTCCTCCCGTAAATCTGAGATAATGATTTTTTGGATTGTAGAAAGCTGAACTATTTGGTAATTGTGTAGGAAATTATATAGGAAATTACACGCCAAGTTCATAGTAAGCCAGTTTCCTGCAATATCTTCATCCTGAAAAAGTCGGAATTAGGAGTCAAGATTTTCGTTCCTGGGTGCTACAAGTCAGCAAAACTACCGAAAGTTCATCACAAACTTAGTGCCTAACTTTCAGCACTTTTGACGTATTGCGGAAGCTGGAACCAAAAAAAACAGCTGAGATCGCGAGTTTTCCGGTGTGCGGGTTCTTCCGAAAAATGTTTTATAGTTTCCAGATTACGTTTCAAAATATCATGTGAATGAGCAAAGGGGCACAAACAACTTCTTTTTCAAACTAAAAATGAATTGAGATATTGATGCAAAATATTTCATAAATTCAAGGATTATTCTAGGAGTACGTAACTTTCCGAAAGTATCAATAAAATAGGCATAGCACGACAGATCATTCAAACCTAAATTCGTAGATTGAAAAACACTGGCCAAGCATTTCATACTTCAACGCATTGAATCGACAAACAGTAAAGTTTCTAAAGTACTATAATTAAGGGGGTTTAGAAACCCAAAACATTTCCTCTACAGCCAAAAGTGAGTAAATGAAAAACCATCGCAAAGTACTTAATCAGGCAAAAATTTTAAGAAAAAATTTTCCATTCAATTTTAAATGTTTAGGATTTTTTTATAAAAGAAGTGTTCGGCAGTATCTAAATCCCGAAAAGCTTGGCAACTGCGGCCAAATTTAGTTGTCCCAGCTGCTAAAATTTGTTAAAATTGCCCCAAGCCCGGCATAGCTATGCGTAGTTTTTGACAGTGTTACCGAATTTTGGCCGCAGGGATCAAAAATCTCGGCTCCAATGGCGAAGTTTTTCGGAGTGTGGATGTTACCGAAAATGTTTTGCCGCATGGGCAACTTTCCATAAGTAAAATAAAATTAAGACGGTGATGTACACCCTAAAAAAATCCTAAACATTTAAAATTGAGTGGAAATCTTTTTTGTAAGAACAACCACAATATATGAATATTAATTTAAATAGGTATAACTCCCTTTAAACACATTGAAATAAATTAAGTTACATTTCACTGACCAGAATTAAAATTTAATTGACTTATAATACGGAAAAATAACGCCTCTCTGTCGTGTGAAGAGTCACTATGTGTTAGTGTACATTGTTGTACTTTCTTCTTCTTCTTCGTCTTCTTCTTCAAGGTCGAATTTTTCGCAGAACTCTGGAGTACCTGAAGGTAATCCAGAGATGTGCGTAGTAATGGTACCTGAAGGCAAAGTCGCCTTTGCACATCTCGGTACACTTGAAACCGTTCGTCCGACAAGTGTAAGGTGGTGCGCAACTTTTTTGTGCACATTTGCACCAACATAGCTCCAATGCTCCATAGCTCTGGAACACATGCACTAAACAATTTTTCTTAGGATATCATATTGACTGACAATGAGTTTCAAATGAACAAAATTTGCTTTTTTTTTTTTTAGTTAAACAAACGTTGTTTTGCTAGCGTTAAGTTCAAGTTTAAAAAAAAAAAAAAAAGATAGTGAAACAACGTTTGTTTAACTCCAAAAAATAAAAAAAAAACAGATTTTACGTACATTTCCGCAAGAATTTAACGCGAAAAACCGAGTGTCGTTGACAAGAAAGGACGCTTCAAGTCAAAATAATATTGCAAGAAAAAATGTTTTAAGTGTGGCCCATTGCATACGATCATCTGACTTTTTCTCCAGTATTTTTCCTGCCACAATCCAAAGCTGGATTGCAATGCCAAGTGCTGCCTACCGTCTTGATGCAAAATGGACGCCTGAAGGTGAGCTCTAAGAAACACAGGGTCCGTCTAGTCAATCGGAGGTTTTCATCCTGGTATTGTTTCTTCGAGAAAATCCACTACCTTGCTTCTTCTAAATCTCTACGTGCTGTTTTTAGAGCACATCGTTGACGTACCAACTGCTCTAGACGTTGTCTAATTTCTTCGGAGAGAGAAAATCTGGAGCCCAACTTTGGGAGAGCTTCCAATACGTCATTGCTTGCATTATTCATTAAGATTTTCCACCTTGTCAGTTTACCTTTATTTATGAAAGATCTGGTGATAACGGCACCTGCAGGAGCGTGTAATTAAAGAAGAATGGAAGATTTCAAATGACAGGGTACGTTTCAAATTGGGATGAGATCGACGAACTTTTCTTCCCTTAACCAAGACACATTCCCACTTGAGGTGTAAGCTTAGGAATCCGCTTGTAAAGAAAGGAGTGTGGATGGGCAGTTGGGCACGTCAAAACGAATTCATGACCGATAAAAATAATGAAAAGGCAAGGCCATTGAAAT